TTGGCGTGTACTAATAAATTGATCAGAATAAACACATTTTCTACACTGAAATGTAACAAGATTCCCTTATCGTGAGAGTTTCAATAGGTCTCTGACATAGATTCCCTTCTCGTGAGAGTTTCAATAGGTCTCTGACATAGATTCCCTTCTCGTGAGAGTATCAATAGGTCTCTGACATAGATTCCCTTCTCATGAGAGTTTCAATAGGTCTCTGACATAGATTCCCTTCTCGTGAGTTTCAATAGGTCTCTGACATAGATTCCCTTCTCGTGAGAGTTTCAATAGGTCTCTGACATAGATTCCCTTCTCGTGAGAGTTTCAATAGGTCTCTGACATAGATTCCCTTCTCGTGAGTTTCAATAGGTCTCTGACATAGATTCCCTTCTCGTGAGAGTTTCAATAGGTCTCTGACATAGATTCCCTTCTCGTGAGAGTTTCAATAGGTCTCTGACATAGATTCCCTTCTCGTGAGAGTTTCAATAGGTCTCTGACATAGATTCCCTTCTCGTAAGAGTTTCAATAGGTCTCTGACATAGATATTATAACGAGATGTCATTCGTAGAGTAGAAACTGTAGCATTGCTTCTTTGTTCAAGTGCAGAATGTGCTCCATTGGTGTACAGGATGCCTGTGTGAAGCATGTCTGTGTGAAGGATGCCTGTGGGCTGGATATTTGTTCGATAAAATAGTTTGAACAAATAGCTCCGACAAAATAGCGCAGAAAAAAAAATATTTCAGTCATTCTGAAAGCTATCGTAAACTATGAATAGAACCAATATATATTGTTTGTTTTAATGCTATCGTTATTTTACGGTTATTTCGTAGGAAACACTTTAGAAACACGCTAGAGATCTTCAAACATAGATATGCAAACAGTAAGCAAAAATTATAATAAGCTAAAATAAATAATTTCAAGATATATCATTTATTTATATTCCAAAATTGTACTTTGAAAACAAGCAAAGATACTTGTCAGATTTATACACACACACACACACACAGAAACTTGCACAAATTGTATGCAATGTCACATAAAAACTCCATCATTGGCATTATAGCTGCAAGACGTCTGTTAAGTTGGAAGCACTTTGTCTTGCTTGCAGCTTTACTTCGTTCTCCAGCATTGTACTTCAGAATCTTGTTCTTAGTGTTCTCCTGTTCTCTGAGGAAGTGAGAGATTAACTTGTACACATTAAGGTGATGACCGTCAATAGACAGTTGAAACGCATGGTGCCATCTCTCCACTGAATTGTTTGTTCGTGGTAGATTGTCCTGCACACGATCTCTAACATTCCATAATGCTATCGGACATCTTGGAGTCACTCTGAAGTTTAGTCTCTGGCGACCAATATAGTTGTCCTCCCAATCGTCATACAAATTCCCTTCAATATATATCAAAGCATCTTCGAAGGCATTAGGTAGTATTTACATATAAGAATAGTGATCGCCAGCTTACTTAATCCTGACACACCTAAGTTTGCCAATGTTGCGGCAAGAGAGGCCCTTGTTTAATCAAACAGAGATGCCGCAGATAATCAAGATTTCTGATTATACTATGACACTCATGTGTAACATACACATAAACCTAAACCTTGAACGGGGTCACTACATTTCAAAATAATTTTTATGAAATTTAAACATTGATGAAAAAGGAAAATGAGATAAGATTTTAAAGTACTCTCTTTCTCTGCAAATATGGCATACTTTTAGATCTATTAATATTGACTTACTAAAATCGGTACTTTTATACACATCATATATACCGGTAAGTCCGCGCTATTTTGTCTTGTGCTATTTTGTCGGGAAATTCTGCGCTTTTTTGTTGGCACTGTTTTGTCGGGTCACCGTAGGTTACTTACATGTTTTTAATGTAGGCTTACTAACAGGTTATTACAGTATGAACTTTAAAAGGACCTAAAAAATATTGTTTCATTTCTTGGCTTGATCTCCACATTTTGTGGTTTCGTGTTTACATTTAGACATAAGAGGGTGTTGTTTCTCTTCTTGGTCTCAGCGTGTCCACAATATTCATGAGTCCATAGGAAGAAATCAATGATTCAACTAGAAGTTAGCCATTAGTTCTATCTAAATATTCATCTGTTACATTTATCATTTTAAAAAAAATACGTGCTTTTTTTGTTACAGATTATGTTAGACACCTACAAAAAACTGGGTCTATTTGAGGGCTCACTGGGTAACCCTTGAACTCAGCATGACATGTAGACTATAGTCTAACTCCACTACCAGCATGCAGTCAGAACACAGCGGGTGTCTTGTTATCTGTGTGCTCAACGCCTACATTGCACTAAGTCAAATTCAGTCAAGGCTGCACTCTGAGGCCTAGTATTACAACAGTCAATGCGTACAAGGTACTAGAGAGGCCATGTTTTTATGTGTAACGTAACTTTCACCAGAACCACAGTCAATTAGAAGCTAATCTAGATAGTTGTCAGCTTACCACTTTTTGTCCACCTACTTGTTCTATTTAAAGCTACATAGGATAAGAGCCAATAGATCACAGCCGATACGAGATCTCGTCCACCTTGGAGCCCAGTCGCTACATGATCTGGTCCTCCTTGAGACTATTTCACTCCCCACCCCCAGTAGGTCTACTTGGTTGAACCTTCCTGTACCGCCACTTCTGTTGTAGAATACATGGACTCCGTTTGAAACTACTAAGTGGTGAATTTGGAGCAGCTATTAGCCTTTTTTTTTTTTTTACATTTTACATTTTTTATACAATATCTAACGAGAAGTTATGTTCTTTTCTCTACTGTATATTATTATTATTATGTTCTATTCATGCACGACTCAATGAGGTCGCAACGATTAGGTCGATACATTTGCCATCGCTATAAAACTATTACACTACAGTTCACCAGAGGATTTTGTTTCTTAAAGTACCGGTATTGGGGAAAATTTACAAAGAAAACATCCATCTTGAAAATGTAAAAGGCTAACAATGTTGTTGTTTTTTCCGCCCCAAAGTGAGAGTTAATCAGTCTGTTCGGATTATTAGGACATTATGTATAATAAAAAATAAATGAAAGAGTGAACGTTTTGAAAATCATATTCACCAATAAACATCTAGAGAATCAGTTCGACTCAATTTATTCTTGGAGTTGGACTGGGGATTAAAGTGTGTGAATTATTGTAAGACAGTTCCTGCTCCTTGACAATGACCAGTATTACGAAGCTTTACCTAAATAGGCCTCGGGAGAACCTTAGGGGGAGAGTAGGGCCTACTCTTGTCTGGGATTAGCAGCTGTTAATGCTTTCTGCATAAGAATATTTTGAATCGATTTTTAGCAAACCCATGAAAAAATTTTTTTTCCGATTTAGAAAACGAAACGACTTAAGATTTTTTTTTTAAATATTGTATTTGTATGGCGCATCTTTCAAATGTACAGCATGGTCCAACTTATGGACATGTTGAGGGAGGGGGGTATTTAGAACTCAGCATGAGTCGGTTTGAGCTAGAGCCCCCTAGATAGATGCTTTATGTCACTGAGTTAGAGCCCCCTAGATATATGCTTTATGTCACTGAGCTAGAGCCCCCTAGATAGGTGCTTTATGTCACTGAGCTAGAGCCTCCTAGATATATGCTTTATGTCACTAAGCTAGAGCCCCCTAAATAGATGCTTTATGTCACTGAGCTAGAGCCCCCTAGATAGGTGCTTTATGTCACTGAGCTAGAGCCCCCTAGATATATGCTTTATGTCACTGAGCTAGAGCCCCCTAGATAGATGCTTTATGTCACTGAGTTAGAGCCCCTTAGATATATGCTTTATGTCACTGAGCTAGAGCCCCCTAGATAGGTGCTTTATGTCACTGAGCTAGAGCCCCCTAGATATATGCTTTATGTCACTGAGCAAGAGCCCCCTAGATAGATTCTTTATGTCACTGAGCTAAGCCCCCTAGATATATGCTTTATGTCACTGAGCTAGAGCCCCCTAGATAGATGCTTTGTGTCACTGAGCTAGAGCCCCCTAGATAGGTGCTTTATGTCACTGAGCTAGAGCCTCCTAGATATATGCTTTATGTCACTAAGCTAGAGCCCCCTAGATAGATGCTTTATGTCACTGAGCTAGAGCCCCCTAGATATATGCTTTATGTCACTGAGCTAGAGCCCCCTAGATATATGCTTTATGTCACTGAGCTAGAACCCCCTAGATAGGTGCTTTATGTCACTGAGCTAGAGCCCCCTAGATATATGCTTTATGTCACTGAGCTAGAGCCCCCTAGATAGGTGCTTTATGTCACTGAGCTAGAGCCCCCTAGATATATGCTTTATGTCACTGAGCTAGAGCCCCCTAGATAGATGCTTTATGTCACTGAGCTAGAGCCCCCTAGATAGGTGCTTTATGTCACTGAGTTAGAGCCCCCTAGATATGTGCTTTATGTCACTGCGCTAGAGCCCCCTAGATAGGTGCTTTATGTCACTGAGCCGAATCATTTAGTCTTTTAAACATTTGGTAGTGAAATTGTTTTCATTCAAAATCAAATACTGATTTGTAACTACACTGCAAATACAACCTTTGCGTCCCTTGTTAACACGTTGTGACCAGATTGAGAACCATTGCTATTGATAGTGTGAACATTATGTAGACATGTCCAACAAATGTTGTTCAAGAGATTCATCCAATAATTTGAAATTCTCTTCTTATCAGTAGATAAGTATACACATTGTTTCTAGACCTAGTGGAAAAAAACGAGTTTAATTTGTCGTTTGGGTCAAGGAGAGATTATTTGTCAAGAGAATTGATCTTTGAAATATATTGAGCTGTTGAATAGAACATACAATCGCATACATTTAATTTAAATGATCTCGAAACTACTTTGCCCCATTTAACGTCATGTACAAGTCAAAGAAGTTGTTTAAACAAAACTATCACTAAACTACTAAGTTTTCACCATATTGTTTGTTCTCTAAGACTTTCTTTGGGGTTTTTTTTTAATGTTTCGTGAGCCGATATTTAGTATAAAATGGAAGAAAAAAAACTTTCTGATCAAACTGAAAGTTTATTTCTTTGAATGAAAAAAAAAGATAAAGCACAATAGTACATTTCATTCATCTGTTTTCAGCCAATACTCTATTTAGAGACAAATTTAGACTCTATCTGGGTGGCCTAGACACATTTTGACTCTGGGTGGCCTGGACACATTTAGACTCACTTTGAGTCCGGACACTTAGATTTACTTTGGCTGGTCAAGACAATCACACTTAAGACACTCTGGGTGGCCAAAGACAATCACAATTAAGACTCACGTTGGGTGGCCAAGACAATCACACTTAAGACACTCTGGGTAGCCCAGTCACACTTAGATTCACTTTAAATGGCCAAGACAATCACACTTAGACTCCAGCTGGGTGGCCCAGATACATTTAGATTCACTTTTAGTGGCCAAGACAATCACACTTATACACAACCTGGGTGGCCCAGACACATTTAGATTCACTTTGAGTGGCCAAGACAATCACACTTAGACTCAACCTGTATGGCTCAGACACATTTAGATTCACTTTGAGAGGCCAAGACAATCACACTTAGACTCAACCTGTATGGCTCAGACACATTTAGATTCACTCTGAATGGCCAAGACAATCACACTTAGACTCAAGCTGGGTGGCCAAGACAATCACACTTAGACTCAAGCTGGGTGGCCTAGACACATTTAGATTCACTTTTAGTGGCCAAGACACCCACACTTAGACTCAAGCTGGGTGGCCAAATAAATCACACTTAGACTCAAGCTGGGTGACCCAGACACATTAAACTTTCTAGATTATACAAAAGTCACAATTTTTTCAATGATATTTGTATGACTAATGATTACCATATGTCATTGGCATTTTGAAATACAGCATACAGTAAACAAGTTGTTGAATGTTTAGTCCCATGGACTTATGAAATAAAAAACATTTGGATAGCATTAAATTAAGAAAACAAATTTAAACAGCATTGAAGGACAAACTTAATTTGGCTCGTTTCTTGTGTGTGGGTGACTCTGGAGACATGCTGTGATATTTTCTTTTCTTCTGGCCTGAAGGACTTTCCAAACTTTCTTCACAGATTTCTTCTTTCACTATCACTTTGTGCTTCGACTTTTTAGGGCTGCTCAGTTCTGTTGTGTCCACTGTAGGATGGGGTAACATGGGGACCCTGGAGTGGTCAGCATTAGTCAGCAGATCTACCTTAGACTCAGGAACTTCATATTCATCTGCTTCTACCTTGAAGTGATTGACCTCTGGTTTGATATCTTCATTGGGAGTGACACTAGAGAAAGAATGGTGTTCAAACTGGTTAGTGTTAGACTTGGTGTTTAAACTCAGTGCTTTTTTTGTGATGGTATGCACCGTTAATGTGGGGAAAAAATTATTGCTTTTCTTGTATTTTAACATTTATTAGTAATTTATTTGTAGTTAAAAGTTAGGCAATCCATCACTGAGTACTGGCACCTATTTTTTTTTTTTATAAAAGCACCTTTCAAACTGGTTAGTAAGTGATAGACTTGGTGCTAAAACTGGTTAGTAAGTGATAGACTTGGTGATCAAACTGGTTAGTAAGTGATAGAGTAACTACAGAAAGTGCATTGTTATTTTAGAACCACAAAAGTCACACTAAGTAAATATCAAAATACAAATTAAGGTTAGGTGCTTTAAAAAATAAACTAAATCTTAAAGGACTGATAAAATATCCTGTTGCACAAACTCAAGGTTAATTATGTATTGGAATTAAAGTTCTGTTTAATGAGGCCAAAAATCATACATGCTAATAAGATGTGTAATATACTAAATCAATTCATAACCTTAGAAACAAGGCTTTATTTCAATAAAACACGACTGATACACAATAACACAGTACAGACTGGTCACGGTTCACAGATTACGATAATGCGAACACGATTACAAATACTAGCACAATTACAAGCACGGGTAACACACAAGTTCATTTAACGATCACTCCAAGATGTCACACATGTTTTTATTGAATTCAATAGCCTTGGCATATACGATGACTCAACTGACCAACAACTTTTGACTTTGAGCAGCCATGGGCATGGTTGAAAATACCAGAAAAAGAAAGAGGTTGGCTTCAAGCAAGGCACGCACACAAAAAGTCTATTCTACCATCAACAACATCATATGATTTTTCTTAGAAGCTACTTGCTACAACATTTCTGCACTACAATACAACACTAGATCTTGGAACTACAAGACAAGTCTTATTATTCCTAGTTGTCCGTAGGCTACATCTGTTATGATGCAGGATTGAGATTCAACACACACAGAACTTATTCTACTTCATTATGATTTGCAGCTGCTATTAAATTAAGCGAGTTCTTTTTTAACAAGGTTAAGAATGTCCCAATGATATCTGCTTAGCTAGCAAGCTTATTCAATATATATATATCTATTACCTACCAAAACCAAACAAATGAAAATAAAGAAAAAAAAAGTGTTTTGATTTGTACATTGAGTGAGGTTCTTAACACTTTTTCACATCTTGTCAGATATACAGACCATACTTTGAAAACATGTATGCAAACAATTTTACCTTTTCAGACTTCCTCTGATAAACAAGAGTTCCCCATCAACTACAACTTCCGTTACACAGAAACTACAACTACTTCCTAGGGCAGGCATCAGGTCACTAGATGGAGGTTGGGTCAATGCAGCATTAAATGTATTCAACACAAGACATCCAATGTGACTTTTACTGCACTGAAAACAAAGGGTTTGCATTCATCAGTATAGGATCAATTGGTTGTAGCAATGCCTACCAGTGAACAAAGAAGTAGTTGAACCAAACTGAATATAAATCAAAAATATTTACAAGAGAAACAGTTTTGACAGTCAGTAGCAGAGACAAGAAAGGGCTTAATAAAAATAGAAATGATGAAAGCTTTTACACTTCCAAACCAAATGAAGAGAGATCCTGTTGAATCAGAGATAAAACCTTCTACTATAGAAGACAAGAATAGATATTAGGCTTTTATTTCAAAACAAGATCTCTACAACAGACAATCAAAGTTACCTTATTTATGACACCTTCAAGCACTTGACCAGGCCTAGGACTAAAAACGTGAAAGTCTGCTATGACCTCCATACTATGATAGCCCTCCACTATAAGATGACGGTCACCCACAATTTTCAAGTTGTCCACATCTAGCAAAGCACCTTCCAATCTAAACATGTTATGAAAAGTAGTTATTTAAAACAGAATAGACTCAAGGATTTCAACATTTTACTTTATATTATATTAAAATTGAGAAGTTGAATCAAATTTCTAGACAGAAAGAATTCTACAGACAAGACCATCTACAGTTGAAGTTAAAGGATGTCATATAGTCAAAGATTTAATGACTGTATGTCATAGTACACAATTTAACTTTTTATTTGTGGGCTAATTGTGACCATTTGTATAATGTTTGGCTATTTAACATAAAATCTCAAGATAACTGCTAGAGAAAAGTATTTTTTTTTTATATTATTCAGGAATCAGGACTAACATCTAATAATCATTCAGTCAATGTTGATATAGAATTGTGACAACAGCATATCAAACACGTTGTTCATTGTTCACCTGTCTGAATATTTCTGTTTGTCTCTGAGAAGAGCTGACTTCACTGCATGATACTTTCTGTTCAAATCAGCTGGGTGAAGGAAAATGTGCTTCCTTAATGTTTTGTGAAATGTGGCCATCAGTTGTCTAGAGTGAAAAGCATAAAACATGGTATTGTTAAACAGTAGGATGTAATGTTTTTATCTCATTGTTATAATCTCTATTAATAGATAGTACACTAGAATTACATCTAGATGTTTCTGACGATTATCATATTACCTAGGTGTCCTTATGCTTACAAATTATTTCTATTTGTTCAAAAGCAACTAAAAAAACAAAAAAATACTATTTAAAAATTGTATCAATTAGTTTGGATCAGTCATGTTTGTAATTTATAATAGATCTAAATTAACAATAATAAATCTGTGCAATTAGAAAGATCTTTACAAAGCTTATATCAACTCTGTCTGTCTGGTAAAAATGTGTACACACCTTAGTTCTCCCACACCCACTCTTGGGTCTATCTGAAATTTTGCATAATTATTTCTTTTACCTGACAAAACAAGAATCAATTTAAAAAAATAACTAATTAGTTCATAAACTAATATTGTTTGTTATCAAACAAAATTTAAAATATTATAGTTAATTATAAAAAAAAAAAAGACTATTAGTCTTAGTATTTAGATCTAGATGTATCATCATTATTACAATTAGATCTAATAGTTTACCTCCTAAATTCTTAAATTAATTTAATTTAATTAATACAGTCTAGAGTCAATATTGCCTATATGGATATAATATTAGATCTAACTTTCTAGTTTTATAATATAGATTTTTTAAAATAAAATTTAGATCTGGATATAGAGACTAGAATCTAGATTAAATAGCCTAAAGTCTAGTCTAGATATAGATCTAATTATACTTTATAGATCCATTCCATAGTCATGTCTAGAAACTCTAGATTCTGGAATATACTAGATTCTAGATTGACTAGATTTAGAAATTTAGATCTATCAGTCTATATATCTACTTATCATTATCTAGAATCTTTCTAAATTTAGAATCTTGATCTAGATATCTAGATTCTAGAAATGTTATTTTTATTATCAAATGTCATTAAACACATCGTCTTATTCACAATAATTAGTACTGTATCAATACATTATACTGACTACTAAACTCTAAATGCCTATTCCACTAATTTCATAGTATTACAAATGACCAGTGACTGGAAGAGGTTAACGTGTGACCCCGTTGATCTAACACAGGAGCGAGTGATCTCTGGAATGTACATGCATTAACAAAGACAGGATGTGACGTGTCCTTATGTGTTGTTCCAGAAGGTACTAGCAATGTCTAGTGACAGATAGAGGTCACTACTTGTGACTCCGGCAAGATGACACTGCAGCGGGTGCTTTCTGGAATCTACATGTATAAACAAAGACAGGATGTGACGTTTCCTCTTGTGTTGTTCCAGAAGATACTAGCAGTGTTTGTGCAACTTTGGAGGAGCGATTAGGGACTCTATATAAGCCAGAGAGTTTATGTGAAAGTCAGTCGTAGAAAGTCGTAGGTAGAGTCGTCTGTACAGTCATCGTTACTGTTGTCTACTGTGCGAGGCAGTGGAAGAGAGATGTGTACGACTCGATGCAAGTTAACTAGGGTAGAGTTAACTGGAGTGGAGTTCTGTCGTTAAAGTCTATACAGCGAACTACAGTGGACTTGAGCCGCTACAGTCGATACGGTCAATGTAAGACGTGTACGGCTCTGATTTGGTAGACTTGAGTACGACTTGGTTCAGCTTTAGGAGACCTGGAGCGACACTGGGAAGTGTGTCGGTGGTCTGTTCTGTGGAATACGGCTCGATTCAAGTTGAGAAGAGATGAATTGCAACGAAGTGAAGAGATGAATTGCAACGAAGTATAGCTGACTGTAAACTGACAGATATTATAGTCTTCTTCGATACATGTTACAGTGACGAATTG